AGTAGTATGCTGGACTGACCCAGAGGTGTGCACACATGCACACATTTATTCTGAAAGTACAATTTTTCTCCATTGCAAGTTTTGCCCAAACCCTATCAGTTAACTTGAATGCTGTATATTTCCTTATTTATAGCAGGTTGTCGGTAAGCTTTTTATGTAAAGGGCCAAGGAGCAAAATTAAGGGTAGTAGGTAGGCATAATGAGCAGAGAATCTCCACAAAATTTTTATTAAGTTTAAACTAACAGTTGTAATTGTTTTTAAAATAATAGGCGGCTTTCTTTCGGGGTTGGTGACATTTCCCTTAAGTGTTCAAGTCGGCAATCTCCATCAACTGCAAATGTTCACCTATTGATGCTGATTTGTAATGAGATTTTATGCATTGCGTCTTTGAAGGGGTCTTCTCAGGTGATACGAAACCTTGCATTCTTACTGTGTTGCTGCAGTGTGCATTGTGCTGCCCCTTAGTGTGGAGTGATGAGTGTGCCAAAGATGGCCTGCCGCTGCAGGGCCAGAGGCAACTGATAGTACCTAAAGCTGAATGTGGAGCTGTGTTCCAAACTTTGTGTATACTGAGATTTGAATTTCATATAAATTTCCACATGTGAATTTTTTTTTTCCAGCCATATGAAAATGGAAAAACCACTCTTAGCTTGCAGGCCATCAAAAAACAGATACTGGCTAGATTTAGCCCATGGGCAGTAATTAGCTGACACATCCTACAAAAATACAACCCAAGTTGTTTATCACATGGATAGTTAAGGACGGCAACAGCTGCCAGGAAATCACAGGCAAGAAGTCCCCAATAAAGGAAACCAAATCAAGGGAATAGAACAAATGGTAAAAACCTTAATTTATGAAAACTCTGCCTCAAAGAATTGAAATTACATTCTCACAGAGTATTCTGCATACCTGACACTATTCAATCAGAACAACTACCAAGATATATTTTATAAACTCACTGGATTTAAAAAAACTCTTTGGGCTTCTAGCCAAAACAAACTAACTTATTTATAAGGGAAAGAAAATTAGAAAAATTATCATCAGACCTTCATTAGCAAAGTTTTATGCCACAGGAAAATGCAGTATTGTATTTAAAATGCTCAAAGTAAAAGCCAAGGATGTTCTATCCAATAAAAGTGACTTTCAGGTATAAAGCACACTGACAAACTATACTAAGCATGCAAGAATTCAGAAAATAATGCCACGAGAACTTCCTGAGGAATTGACCAGAGAACAAGCTTCAAACAAATTAACTACAGAGCTATATTAATGCAAGGACTGAAGTGGGCATTAAGGACCTATATACTTGTAGCAATTAGACTCCTACATAAGGCCTAAGAGGGAGAATATAAGTAATGGCAGTGTGCTCAAGCAATGTTAACAGTACAACTCTAAAAATTTAGTAGGCCAGGGCACCTGGGTAGCTCTGTCAGTTTAAGTGTTCGACTCTTGGTTTTGGCTCAGGTCATGAAGTTATGGTGGTGAGATTGAGCCCCTTGAGCCCTGTGTCTAGCTTGAGCTCAATGCTGGGTCGGCTTCAGATTCTTTCCCTCCTCCTCTGCCCCTCTCCCCATTCGCACACGTGCATTCTCTGCCTCTCTAAAAATAAAATTTTTAAAAATTAGTGGGCCATGTCACATTTAAAAAAAAAAAAGTCCAATAATTATGTTGGTGATGGTTAGACTACTGTGCATAAAGTGTGGGATGAATAATGATGGCATATTCTGTCGTACCATTGTGACATTGAGAATGTCCATGTCTTTTCCAGCTTTTAGAGGCCACCCACTTCCCTTGGCCCATGGCCTTCTTTCTCCATCAAAGCTAGTAATATCAAGCAGAACCCTCACACTGGGGCGCCCGAGTGGCTTAGCTGTTAAGCATCTGCCTTTGGCTCAGGTCATGATCCCAGCGTCCTGGGATCAAGCCCCACATCAGGCTCCCTGCTCAGCGGGAAGCCTGCTTCTCCCTCTCCCACTCCTCCTGCTTGTGTTCCCTCTCTGTGTCTCTGTCAAATAAATAAAATCTTAAAAAAAAAAAAAAAACCCTCACACTGCATTATCCCAATCTCTTCTGCCTCATTTTTCCAGTTAAAAACCTGTGTAATTACATAATGTGCACCCAAATTATCTAGGATACTTTTCCAAGCACCTTTTGTACATTAGTACACACTTGTAACACTCAACTGTACACGTTCAAGAAGCAAAAGCCACTTAAAAAAAGCAAAAGCCAGTTTCAGATCAACTGTTAGTTTTGCTGCCTAATCCAATCATACCTGAACACAAAGGTCTTGTTTTTGAAGATTCCCACATCCCTGGTTACGACAGTTGTTTTCCAATGAAAAGACCAAAGTAAAATTGTTCCAATTAAGAGTCAAGTACAGAAAAGCCGTATGTGAATACTTAGAATCTGTGTTAAGTTTCTAAGATACTTAAATGGGAAACGGAACAGAATTACCCTTTACAGTATTTCCCACTGGTTGGAAGTCACCTACCTTCAAGTTGGCCTAAAAGATAACTTGATTAAACCCATCATCAGACAGGCTGAACCATTTAAAAAATTCAATCACATACTCTTTCTGGGACCATTTTCAAATGAAAACTTGTAAAATGTAGCAGACTGGAGCTTGACTATTGATTCTCATTAATGTCTAACACCCAAGATAAAAACCGTTTAATTCCAGGACCCTACCCTCAGAGTGACGCTTTGTTAGACACAACTTCTGTCCACCCTGGAAAGGAAGCTCCTGTCATTTGAGATCCAAATGTACAACTCATGTTTTTTACTGAAAACATTTGCTTCTTCACTATGGGATATTAACAGGAATGTCATTCCTTCCTTTATTCAACCAACACTGAACTTCTAGGCACTGGAGGTACAGTGGTGAACAAGACCAAAAAACAGTCCTCATGGAATGTTCTCGTAGACACAAGTAAAAACTACAGAAAAAGTAACCGGAAATTGGGAATGCCAGATAGGGCACGATTTTTAATAGGCCAAGCCTATCATCGGGGTCTACTGAGACTTAGAGGTAAAGGAGCAAGCTCTGTGGCATGTAAGGATAGAGTGTTCCACGCACAGGGAAAACAAGTGCCAAAGCCCTAAGGTAAGAATGTACCTAGCCAGCCCATCCAGGAATAGTGAGGGCAGCCTGGCTAGAAATGTTAGGGGAATGGTAATAAGAGCTCAGGGCCAAGATCAGTTTGGGCCTTGAGTGAACAGACCATCTAAAATTCCTTAAGAGGGGACCTAGGGAGGCCAGGTAAGCAGCAACAATCCAGGTAGTAATGATGGCAAAAGTGATCACAATGAAGTTGGTTAGAAATGGTGAGATTCCAAATATATTTTGAGTATCAAGGATGAGCAGAAGATTTTGGCCTAAAACATAAGTGTGGGTTAAACTGTTAGGATCCAGAATACTGTTTTAGACCTGTCAAATGTGAAATGCCTATTTTATATCGAAGTAAAGATGTCAAGTAAGCAGTTGGATAGACAAACCTATAGTTCAAAGGTACAGGCTAGAAATAAAAAATCTGCATGTCAGTTTAATATATTAAATAAGAGTATTGATAAATGTCCAAGGACTAAGCCCTAAGCTTCTCCAACACTAAAGTGTGAGATGAACTAGTAAAGAGTGGCTATTGACATGGGAGGAAATCTTTTAAGATTCTAGCAACTGTCAAATGTCACTAGAGGAATATAAAATATAGGTCATAAATAGACCATTTAGACCTAGCAACAAAGTTATGGCAACCTTCACAGCAACAGCTTGTGGGAAAGTGTCTAATTCATAATTTAAAAGTAAAATTAGGTACAAAGAAAATGGATTACTCAAACATCAAACAAAAAACTGCTCATTGTCCAAGAAAAAATCGTCAACTTTTTTGAGTTTCTGTTTTGTTTTGTTTTTAAAGATTTTATTTATTTATATGACACAGAGAGAGAGGGAGAGAGCACAAGCAGGGGGAGCAGCAGGCAGAGGGAGAAGCAGGCTTCCTGCATGAGCAGGGAGCCCGACGTGGGGCTCGATCCCAGGACCCTGGGACCATGGCCTGAGCTGAAGGCAGCGGTTTAACCAACTGAGCCACCCAGGCGCCCCTGAGTTTTGCTATATAAGGGGTTTGAATAAATATCAATCAAGGTGAAAACTGCTAGAGCCATGACCTTGATTAGGCAAGAGGGAGGGCAAAAAATGCTAATGTATGTGGGAATTTAAGTTCTCTCATCTACTTTAAATTTTCTAATGATTTTAAGGTCATCAGCTGATCAAAAATGAAAAAGTTGGAGATGAGAAGGACTACAGAACAGAACGGGTGAACAACTAGAGGAGGAAATACTGGCTAGTGGGCACCATCAAATACCCACTTACTAACAGGTGATCAATAACCAATTTCTCTAGACAAGTTCAACTTCACAATACTGGTACACAGTGTGACATTTTGCTGCTATAGCGAAAAAACCCCAAAACTCTTAAGTTACCTTAGACGGGCTCTTCCCATTATTCTATCAGTCTAGTACAGTGATTTTTCAAGTCTGGTCCCTGGCCATCACCATCACCTAGAAACTGTTAAAACCCAAGTTTCCAAAAAAAAAAAAGCAAGTTGGAAGTTTTCAGGTCTTACCCTACAACTATTGAATCAGAAACTCTGGGGGCAGGGTCCTGCCATATTTTAACAAGCCTTCCAAATGGTTCAAGAACCATTTAAGGGATACCTGGGTGGCTTAATCGGTTAAGCATCTGCCTTTGGCTCAGGTCACACTGGACTCTTTGCTCAGCCGATAGCCTGCTTCTCCCTCTGCTGCTCCCCCTGCCTGTATTCTGTCAAATAAATAAAACCTTAAGAAAAATAGATTTCCTTTTATTAACCCTCTATATTTCCAGATCACTACAGCTTAAAATGGATCACTACTACCTTTTGGCAGCTATTTAGTAACAGAGCAGTGGATAAAATCCATACAACAGTATGGAAAAGTTCACATCACCATCAGTTCAGAGTATCTGATTCACCAAGCCTACATTATTTAAAAAGAATCATCAGAAATTAAACATCACAAATAGGATTTTTTTATTTGTCACCATTAAATGTCTGACTTTTAAACAGATTCTTGGACTGGTGGCTCATATCCATCAGCTCGTTCAACTTTAGCACCGGTCTCATCCCCAGTAGCTTTTCCAGAACTACTACCTTCACCATGAAGCTCCATGAGCTTTCCCACTAAAAGAAAGAAAGAAAATGTTATAGCACCCCATTATCTTAAAACAATGGGTCTTCAATATTATATAGGCATGACAGAAAAAAACCATCATTTGGACTCAGAAAAACAAGACACCAATGTATCTGGCCACAAATTTTTCTCTCAGGAATCCTATTTTTCACTTACATTCAAACTTGGGCTTCTTCAGCATTTTTACTTTTCTAACGAAGACATCATGAAGTGGATAAATAGACTGACAAGCCTTTTCTATATCTTTTCCGATGCTGTCTGGAATCCTGCAAACCAGTCAAGATAGAAAGGATAAACTTATACATATTAATACCCACTTCATTTAATCCACTCAAATCCTCATGTAAGACAGTCTATTATTGCCCCTTTACAGGTGGAGGTTAAATGATCTGGATTATACAGCTAGTTAGTGGGAAAGTTAGCATTTGACCTTTCTGCCTTTTCTATTCCACCCTCTTAGGCAACTGCATGGGAACATCAGAAAAATGTTAAGTGTTGTATCAGTGGACATCATCTGGGACCAAAACATCTTGTCGTCATCTATTCCCATACATTATTGACTATGGAAACAAGTTTTGCCTAGTCAGTATATTTTCTAATTAAGACAAAAGCATTTCCTATACTTCAAGTCTCACTATCTGCCTTGAGATTGCTTCATTCAAATAAGGATAAAGAAACCAAATCACATTTACTAAGCACTTAACATGTTTTCATTTTAAGGGACATAGCCCGACAGTTTCACAGACAGGGTTTTTTATTTATTTATTTTTTGGACAGAGAGAAACACAGCAAGAGAGGCAACACAAGCAAGGGGAGTGGGAGAGGGAGAAGCAGGCTTCCTGTGGAGCAGGGAGCCTGATGGGGGTCTCGATCCCAGACTCCAGGACCATGACCCAAGCCGAAGGCAGACGCTCAACGACTGAGCCACCCAGGTGCCCAAGATTTTACTTAATTGACAGACATAGTGAGAAAGGGAACACAAGCAGGGGGAGTGGAAGAGGGAGAAACAGGCTTCCCATCTCGATCCCAGGACCCTGGGACCATGACCTGAGCTGAAGGCAGACACTTTAACGACTGAGCCACCCAGGCACCCCACAGACAGGATTTAAATACAGGTCTGACTCCACCTTGTTTCATATGCTTTCCTTCATTTGAGATATAATCAGAGATTCAGGGTTATGTGGTATGAGGAAAAGAAACACTTACAATTTATTGACCACTTCTTTCAAGTCATTTGTTTGCACCTCTCGGGTCATGATTTCCATCATCTTTTTCCGAATTTGACGGACCTGTTGGTGCTGAGCATAAGAGGTCTTCCGAATCTGATTATTGCGTTTTTTAGTAAAACCAACACAAAATAGACGAAGCAAATAACCATCGGTAGTCTTGACATCAACATGAGCTTCGATCATGGTCTAGTGAAAAAAAGATATTGTCAGATGTACCAGGTTTTAATGTTATCAACTTATAGCCCTCAAATTCTAATATAAAAACACTAGAAAAATCAAGTACTCATCATACAATATAAAGTAACAGAAACTACAAGCCTAAAGAATTAACTTCCTTTTAGTGAACTTACCCAGTTACTCCAAATCTTACTAGCCTTCGTAACTAATAAATACCAAATCCTCTCAACTCTCTTCCCTAGGTAACACCTCTATCCCCATCTCAACAGCACCCAGCCCCCCAAATCTTTTAAGTGCCAGCCTTTAACAGCCTACCCTTCCCACCAATCAACTGTACACCTCTGCATAAGAAAATCAGTTCTAAGAGACTCCAGTCTACACTTACTCTTTTAAAGAATGTGTCTGAGTATACTGCTATAACACTAAATGCGTATTTTTTAAATGTCCTCGTGTTCCAAACTAAAGCCTGATGACGATTAAATATTCAATTTCACAGCTAAAATGTAATAAAAAATCCACTAACTACTCATATTTTTGCCTCAAGTTAAACGAAAATTACCTTAGGTAGCAACAAAAACTGAAATACCTCCTTTGCATTTTGTAAGTTGTATACTTTAATTTATAAATGAGTATACACTTACAGCAAAAGGACCTTAGAATTCTATTTCCAGAAATTCAACCACAAAATCTTCTGGGAATGTCAGAAATAAATGTAACGGTATAATCAGTATGTATCATTTGGGACCGAAACATTTTGTCATCATTCATTCCCATATACAAAACATCCCAAAACTGAATGTTTAGCCAAACACATCTGACCAATGTAATTATTTCCTGTAATAACAATGCTTTCTAAATGCTTTGTATCAAGTGCTGTGCTCAAGCATGTTTAATGGCTCTTTTATTTCATCTTCGTAACTCCAAGAGATACTCTTACCTACCTACCATTTTAGATAAAGGAATCAAAGCTTAGCAAGCTTTATGTCAGAACTGGGAAATGGAGCAAAGACTCCAACCTCACACCAGAGGCTCTGCCACTCTTAGCAACTCTGATAACCCACTTTTAATGCAAGTAAATAAATAAACCTTGAACTCCACTTAAGTAAGAGGTCATGGCTTGCTCACGGCTTTACTCAAGTTCAAGAGTGCCAATCCCAGAGTCAGCACTCAATAAAAGCTAGAAAACATCAAGATTTGAAATGAAATCTACATATGCTCCTCCTTTTCGTAACAAGGCATCCTTGGCTATGCACGCCAAAGCACCATGCACGCTAAGGAACTTTTGTTCTCACCTGCCATTTTTTGACCATGGAGCACATTTTGTCACGGGTAAGATCCATGCCATGGAAATTAGTCAGGCAGTTTTTGCCCTGAACATCCTCAGTAATTAGCTTGAATTTTCTAAATGCAACTTCATCATTCTGCAAATCAGCAAGGCTCACTTCAAAAACCCGACCCTTGAGGCCATCAGATGCGATTTCTATAAAACAAGAAATTGTCTTATTAACATTAGGAACCACATAAAGTCAAGCCAACAAAGAACATTCGAGCATAAACTTGAACTTAGAAAGTTAATAGTAAATTATAAAGATCCTAGGTTCTGTTAACCAAATCCATGTGGACACCAATGACTTACTGACAATGCTCACTAGAAACTCAAAAGTACCTAGGCACATTTTCTTAGTAATTCTAAAAAAGCACCATCTTTCTTCTACAAGTGTTGTATGAAACAAGCACCACCGTGGCCAAAGCTGCAACCAAGAGCTATTTCCTTAATTCTCCCACCAGTAGACCTTAATTTAAAAAAATGCAAAACAAGAATAAAATACTCACTGGTTCCTTGAGTTCTTGTGACTAATGTTTTTCCAATATTTCTTATATTGAACATAGCTGGTGCTTTCACATCATACCAATCTTTCTTAGAAAATGGATCAACCCTGTATTTTAAAAACATTTAAGTTTTATCGCAAATCACGTAATTCTTATTGAATTTTTAAAACTTTCCTCACTCTAATGATTTTAAATGACTAACTGGCATGTAAGCAACGAGTGTAAGAACCACCTACTCCTCTCAGGGAGGTGAGGGGCGCATATTGCAAACCTAGCTCTTCCCCACGATGTCTGCTTCACTATACACAAACCGGACACTTTGAAAAAGTTTACCACAAACGTACACACTCCCCTCCCCATCGGTTCTTCGGCTACACAAGCAGCATTGCCTCCAAATAACATGCACGTCTCTTGAACTTTACTGGTACGTGAAGACACGTACTGGTAACCCCGGCTCTTCAGAGATTCACACGAGCTCATTAGAACGCCAGAAGTCCCACCTGGTCCAAAGACAGGAAGGGGTGCGGGGTCCCGGGTGAACAAGAGTGACTTCCTCAACTCCAGCTCTCGGGAGCAGTACCCTCTATTACCCGGGGAATTTACAAGGCCAGGAAGCCCACAATACGGAACACGCCAGCTCCGAATAGCGTCGGCAATTTAGCTCAAAAAGGGGGGCGCACAAGGCCAGAAGGCCAAAGGAAAGAAGCCGGCCCGTGGCGACGCAGCACCCATACCCGCCAGGCCGCCGTTCTGGGTTTACCAACCCTGCACGGCCCTCGCAATCCAACTGACATCCTCACCATCCGGCCCACACCGCCATCCAGAACCCACCCGCCGAGCCCAGCATGACCCCAAAAAGCTGGGGGCCAGGACAAGATCCACTTACACTTTCTTCTTGGCTCCCTTTTTGCCGCCTTTCGTAAGGCGCTTGTTCTTGCCGACCGCCATGGCGCTGCTCAGGGAGCCAAAAGGGCGGAAGTTAAACTCACGCGAGAACTTAGGCGTACTGGGCGAGGCGTGCCATCTACGTGACCTTCGATCTTGCGTTTTTCCGGCCTTAAGAATATCGCGACAACAGAAAAAGGAACTCTGATTGTAGCTGCGACAGCGCCCTCACGCGTGTGGAGACTGAGTAGCACGCCGCAGGCGGCTCTCCAGGTCGCGGTGCCCGGGAGGGGCGGGCGCTGGCGCGGGCGGCCTGACGTACGAACCCCTGGTTGCAGTTGGTTTCCGTGGCTCTGAGGCCCGGAAGTAAGTTTCCGTGGCAGGAGGCGGCCTCTGCACCGTAGTTAAAAGCGAACTTACCGGTTCACTGTCGTTTCTGGAGACTATGGGATTCGGAATCAGACGGCAGATCTAGTTTCAAGTGCTAGTTTCAGTATTTAGCCTGGTGACTTATCTATGCTTCAGTTTCCTCGTATTTAGAAAGGAGATAGTAATATAATCTGCCTCATAAAGTTGTTAGTAGGATTAAATAAATTAGTAGGATTTAAATAAGTAGTATTAAATAACTTTGGAGATACTAGTAATGTTCCGCATGTTGATAGGATTGCTGGTTAGTGGGGAATGTTCACTTGTGAACATCAAGTTACACACTTGTGTACTTTTCTATAGGTTTATTATACGTTGATAAGAAGTTAATGATTGTTTCCTTGAGGGACTGATTCCACTGTCCCAAATATTTCAATTTTTCAAGAAAAGCTGGAAATCACCAAACTTTTCATTTTTTGCAACTGATGCAAAAAAAATCTTTTTAATTATAGGGGTTTAACAAAAAACATCCTGGTTAGATGTGGCTCAAGTGGTGCAGCCCCCGGAAAGCGGGCCCATACAGGCCTGGTATTCAGGCAGAGGTTCGTTGAGTTCTGGTCTCTGACTTCCCCTCTCGCAAAAACCCTGTGACCCAGTCAGAAACCAGTTCCCACTCACAAAGCCCCACAAACCTTTAACCCTGTAATCCCTTTCAGTCCTCCTAAGGTCCATCCCCTACCTCCTACTACTCCCACCATCCAAAACAGTCTTCCTAAATCTCCAGTTCTATCCTGAAATCTTTCAGTAATCCCCTTAATCTAAGGTGCTTATAGCATAAAGTCCTTATTTCATAACAATATGTATATATTTAACACTACTGAACTGTGCACTTAGGAGTGGTAAAGATGGGGGGGCCTGGGTGGCTTAGTTGGTTGAGTGGCTGCCTTCAGCTGAGGTCGTGATTCCGGGGTCCTGGGATAGAGCCCCACATCGGACTCGCTGCTGGGGGGGGTGGGGCGGGGGAGTCTGCTTCTCCCTCTCCCACTCCCTCTGCTTGTGTTCCCTCTCTTACTGTGTCTCTCCCTGTCAAATAAATAAATAAACTGTTTTTTAAAAATTAAAAAAAAAGTGGTAAAGATGGTAAATTTTATGGCTTGGGTTTTTTTTTTTTTAAGATTTTATTTATTTATTTATTTATTTGAGAGAGAGAGAGAGAGAGAGAGAGAGAGAGAGCAAGCAAGGCAAGCAAACAGACTGCTGCTGAGCAGGAGCTCAATCCCAGGACCCTGAGATCATGACCTGAGTTGAAGGCCCACACTTAACTGACTGAGCCACCCAGGTGCCCCATGGTTTGGTTTTTCATTTGTTTGTTTTTCTACAATTTAACCCAAAAATCAAGTCCGTAGCCAAGCCACAAAAACTCTTTTATCTGGCCCTCATCTGTTTTCATCATCACTACATCTTGGCCTTTACCAGGTCCCCCAACCCCTGTTTTAAAATTCCCTACCCTAGGAGTACCTGGGTGGCTTAATTGGTTAAGCGTCTGCCTTCTGCTGGGGTCATGATCCCAGAGTCCTGGGATCGAGGGGCTCCCTGCTCAGCGAAGAGTCTGCTTCTCCCTCTGCCCCCATCCCTGCTTGTGCTCTTTCTCTCTCTCAAATAAAATCTTAAGAATAAATAAATAAAATAAAATTCCTTACCCTGAACAGTTTTCTCTTCCCTTCATTCCTTTTCCCTTAGCAGCAAGTAAATACCTGTGCATTTTCAAGACCGCTCAGCCTCATTTCTTCTTTCAGTAAGAGATTGAGTCCCCAGACACATAGGCTTTCCCTCGGACCTGTTCCCAGAAGACCTAGCACTACTTAACTTCTTAGTAACTATGGATTAAAACTGTTCCTTTCTTACTATGAACAGGAGTGACAGAGCAGTCATTTTCTTATTTTTAAATTTTACCAACCTATAAAAAAACAAAAGACAACTGCATTTACTATCTGCATCACTTCATTTTTAGATTATATTTTGACCCCAAAATAAAAATAAAGAACATATCCTCTAAAAAGTCAGTCCTTTTAAATAAATAAATCAACTTTATGAAAACCTCTTTAGACCATATTTATATATTTTTTTGTCTTACTGCAGACTGGTGAAAACTAGTGACCAGTGGAAATCAGTGAGTCCTTCTAAATACAATATTGAATCTAATAAACTGTTTATTAATTCCACACTTATAGTAACCTTGACTAAGTTTACTTTATGGGTGGCAGTTCACTACTTTAATACCTTCCCAGTGGAAAATGTTATAGACCCCAAGGCTACCTATTCCAGAATAAAAACCAAACTTGTCTTCTTCCTAGTCTAATTCCTCTTTCTGCCCAAGAGTAAAAAAGCCCCAGAGGAGGCAGTAATGAAGTCCGTTGCATCTAGTTTCTTCTAGCAACACCAGCATCTAAGGGATTTGTCAGAGGTACATATTTGAATCCTCTGTTTTGTAATAAAAGCTTTTTTTGAAAAAAATTATGTTCCTTGACACTTACATTAAATGGTGCAATTATCAAAACAGATAATGGAAGACAGCACAGGGCATGTGAAATCAGGTTATTGGGTCTCAACCATCTGAGAATTTCAAAATTCAGATAGAATAAAATGGAACAGAAAATTGTCACACTGCATCAAACCTAGTAAAGTGTCAAATTGTTTCATTAATTTTCTTTTCATCTGTGACTTATCTCTTCAATTGATCTAGTGATTTTTAGATTTTGATTACTGTCTTATTTCTAAAAGGTTAACTTAGTTCTTTTTCAATTTCACTTTGTAGCTTCTTATTCTTTAAAGGCATCTTCAATATAGATTTAAACCAGTGAGCATAATTGTCTTATAGTCACTGTATGATAATTCCAGTATCTGAATTCTGTCAGTTTGTTTCTATTATCTATTTTTGTGTTGGCTCTCTGATTATAGTTTATCTTTGTGTACTGGTCATTGCATTTGAAAACTAATATTTGGGGTACCTGGGTGGCTCAGTCGGTTAAGCATCTGCCTTTGGCTCAGGTCATGATCCCAGGGTCCTGGGATGGAGCCCTGCATCAGGCTCCCTGCTCATCAGGGGAGTCTGATTCTCCCTCAACCCTTCCCCCCTGCTGGTGATAGATGTCTCTCTCACGTGTTTCTCTCTCTCTCAAATAAGTAAATACAATCTTTTTTAAAAAGTGAAAACTAATATTTGTGGGAATAATTTGAGGCCTGTGATGAAGATACCCTCTTTCAGATAAGATATGCATATCCTTCTGCCAGAGTCCTGCAGGCATTTAAATCAGCTTTTTTTGGCTTTAGGCTTCCTCGCCACCCAGGAGGTTCAAATCCAGCGATAATTCCTTGTAGGTGTCCTACTCTATATTCAGCTCTTAATGGTGTAACCCTGTGAGGTCACAGTTTGCTGAAGGGAGGATCTCCTGTTAGACTTCACACCTCCTATGGATCCTGGGATTGGATTTATGTCCCTGTCACCCAGAGGGACTATCCAAGTCAGTGTTCCAGTTATCTGGAACCAGAAATACACTTAGGGCAAAAGTAGTTTGGTATTTATTTATCTTGTTTATTCCTTTTTTTTTTTTCCATCCTGTTTTGGATAAGTAATTCCTTACCAAAAAGAATACATTTTATTATTATTAAGATTTTATTTTTAAGATCTCTACACCCAATGTGGGGCTTGAATTTACAACCCCAAGCTCAGGAATTTCATGGTCTACAGACTGAGGCAGCCCAGCACCCCCAAGAATAGCATTTTAAGTAGAGTTTTGGTTTGGAAGCTTGGGGAATAGTTGATCATTTATTTAACTGATGTTTAGAAATTTCTTCCATAAATGGAGAAATTTGAGAAAATCTTGCTTTGTTATCTTAAATTTTTAAATTATGCATTCTGTTCATCATCCTGATAAATAAATGCAAATTTGTCTTTTTACTGATGACATTATCTTAATGCTTAAATGGTATTACTGAATCCTAACCAGATTGCAGTGAAACTAGTGCTCTCTCATTCATCCCTGTTGGTATTTTACAATAATAATCGACTTGAAAAATAATTTGTCCATGTGATTCAAAAACCATCGGTGTCCTGCAAATATATCATAAGGAAATAAATCAAAATTGGGGAAAAACCTGTATGTGTAAAGATATTATTCAGTCTTAATCATAAAATTAGAGGATGAGAAATAACCTAAATGCTTTAAAATAAAGAAATGGAAGGGAGGTGGGGCAGACAGTTAAGCCTCAGACTCTTGGTTTCAGCTCAGGTCGTTCCCTTGGGGTTGGAAGATGAGCCCCATGTTGAGCCCCGTGTTGGGCTCCAAGCTCAGCCCAGAATCTGCTTAAGACTGTTTCTCCCTCCTTCTGCCTGCCACCCCCACACCCTCACACACACACACACACACACACACACACACACTCTCTCTCTCTCTCTCTCTCTCTAAAATAAATCTTAAAAATAAATAGCTGAAAGGGTGATGATTCTTAAATTAAAAAAAATAATAAAATAAAATAAAGAAATGTTTAAATTATGATACATCCATTTGGTATACCATTATGTGGCCATTATAAATCATGAGTATGAACATTGTTTAGACAAATGGAAAATGCTTATGATAAAGTGGTCAATGCAGGATACAAAATTTATATACATCTTCATTATAACTATATAAAAGGCAAAAGGCATTAAAAAAAAAA